TGTTCTGTTCCCCACTCTGGCTCTGGTGAATTCTCTCACCCTCCCATGCTTCTGACTGTACCCAGTGCTTGTATAAACAAATAAATAATTTTTTTAAAAAAGAACATGAACAAATGAGTTTTCCCCATGGGAAAGTCTGCAAGCTCCTTGGTTGAAGATGGAGGGGATGCTGGCTGGGATTTGCATTGTCTGAAGCACTAATTAGAACATTTTTAGGGGGGCCTACTGTGCACCAGCATTATTCTAGACACTAGGGAATATTCCAGATAGTGATGAGTGAGACAAGGACCTTACATTCATGAGATTTATATTTTGAAGGAAATAACGATATACAAATACAGATCAGGTGATAAGTTCACCACATAAAGTTAAGCAGATTGAGGAGTGGGATGGGAGACACTGGTTTTGAGGGGTGTGGTCTGAAAAGTCTCTCTGGGTAGCAGGTGCTGTGGGTGCTAAATCAGGGTATGGCTCTGCACTCTGCAAGACCCGGGTCTCAGAGTCTGATTATAGAAAACAGAGTTCCTGCCTATCAGGAAACTTGAAGCTGACAAATTTCAGTTTCAAATTTACCTTGATGCTAACAGTCTATGGCATAGTTTTCCTTTTTCCTCTTCTCTATCCTGTGGTTTGTCTTTGATGAATTCATGAATTTAGCAGTTAGCTTTAATACAAACTACCACGTCTTTCTTCTTGGGGTTCCTTGAGATCCAGAGCAAAAAGCCAGTGCCAACAGGCAGAACATTCTTCCCCTGAAGTCAGATGTAAAACTGGCTCACACAAATCAGCCTCATCAAATTCCAGATTCATTAAACCTATCTTTGACCCCACCCAGGGACGTGCCAGGCATGGTCGATTTGGATTTGTTTTAGAGTCCTCCTCCACTTTCCCCTGTAAACATCGCAGAATCAAGGCCACAGAACTAAGAGATGACAGAAAGGAGAGCTGTAAATCCAGCTTCCTGATTCCACAATCAGAGCTCCTTCCACTGCACTAGAGCTCAGTCTTGCTAGAAAATTCCAGCTTCATCTTTTTTCCAAACAGACCTGCACGTTCTACCCAATGCAGTGAGAGAAGCTAGAGAGGCTCCCCCAGGACAACCAAGGCATGCCCTAGAATGGCAAATGCCACTCCTGAGACCCAAGGAAAACCTCCTGGAAGGCCCACGTGCAGACCAGCCTGCTAACTTCATCATCTGGCACCCAAAGAGGCGGTTATCAAGAGAGAGACCCTGGCAACCAGCAGAGTTACAAGCCTCTCAGCTATGACGGAGGTCCCTTTTAAAGACTGTGCTCTGATTAGCAAGTGTCGTTAGCAGATCCTACGTACTGTTGTCAAAACTGGGTTCAAGGCTCCTCCCCCCTCTTAAAATAAACCTGCAAACTAATTTATTTATACAAGGCAGCCAAATTGCACAGAACCGTCAACAACTCTTCCCCCAGAACAGATTAAGAGCCTGCAGCCGATGAGAAGATATAATTGCTCCCCAGATTGTGAGCAATTTTTTTTCCCTTCCAGATTTTTCACCGAGACTAAAGTCTAAACTCAAAGCAATAACCATCTATAAAAAATGTCTCTAGGGTAATAAGTATCAGTCCTGGGTCAGCCAAGTCCTGGTGTAAAGGGGCTGTTTTGCATATTTCTGTATTATTTCCTCTGAGATTAGTGGAGGGGGAGAGAGTGACAACAGAGGGTAGAAGGGGAAAAGGAAAAATCAGTTGACTGCACACAAAAATGCCAAAGAAGAGGAGGTGGGAGAGAAGCCTGCCTGTCAGCTTCTCACCTGTCCCCCACTGGCCAAACAAAATTATTTATTTTGTTATTTTCATTGCCTCCCTCTTTTGCTTTTTTTCAAATAGTTTGCAAGCTAACCACAAACCAGTCATAAGTTGGCAGGTTTAACACTAAACATCACTGGCCTTTCATTTCCAGCAGGGATAAACACAAGGATCATCAGAATGTAAGAAAAGTCCAAGTGCATGTTCAGGGCCAAGAAGAGCACAGGGTGGGAGTCATTGGGTCTTCTGAGACCATGGCGTCTGACGCTCATTTCCAAATGAGGTGGGAGCCTGGAAGGCGGAGTGCCTGTCCCAAGGTCACACTGCAAGTTGTATTAAAACAAGGCTTTATAGTACAGAGCCAGGATGCTTCCTCCAGGTTTGTGGAATCATCTCTCAATGCTGTTTTACTGTATTTATAAAAGGGGGTGTTAGAAAGGGGCCACAATCACTTCAAGATCCCTGAGCTGGGAGGACTAGCAGGAAGGCTGTAACTAGGTCCTCCCTTGCTCCATGCTGGGCTTAGTTGCTAAAGCAACCGGAGACTTGGTCACAGAAGCAAGACTGAATTCTGGCCAGACATCTATCAAAAGAGGTTTCAGAGTTAAATATGCTCACCAAGGCAGGAGGGTTGAAGGAGGAAGGCCCAGTGAAAGTTGTTCAAGCAGCTTCGGCAGCCCCAGTAACTGGTTCCTCCATCTGATGCTGCCTATGTGACCCTCTCTTCCTGCATTTTCCACAGGCTGGCTGAATCTCTGCGGGTTAGGGTCATGTAACTGACCAGGTCCCATCCATACAGCATCGGGCTTCTACTGTGACTTGCGGGCCCTCACCTGCCCCATGATGAACCGCTCTGAGTTCTGACCTGCCAACTGAGCCCACCCTGGGCGGAGGCAGCCAGGTAGCCTGTTACTGGGGCTAAGCAGATACACTTCAGAGTTAAGAATAACTGAGGAAATGAAAAAGCTAACTTGAAAAGTTATCTGCACCCAGCATTGCAGCATTATTTACAATAGTCAAGACATGCATACAACCGAAGTGTCCACCAATGAATGAACAGCAAGAGAAGGTACATATATATATACCTCAAGGGACTTTTTTCAGCTATGAAAAGGAATGAGAACCTGCCATTTGCAACTAAGTGGATGGACTTTGAAGACATCATGTTGAGTGAAATAAGTTAGATGGAGAAAGACAAATATTGTCTCATCTCTTATATGTGGAATCTTAAAAACAAAACCAAAAACAAACAAGACACCAGCTCATAGATACAGAGAACAGACTGGTGGTTGCCAGAGATGAGGGGTAGGCAAAATGTGTCAAAAGGTAGAAACTTTCAGTTATAAAATAAGTAAGTCCTGATTTAAGGTAAAACATGCTGACTGCAATTAATGATACTGTATTACAATATTTAAAATTGCTGAGAGTAAATCTTATTACACAAAGAAATTTGTAACTATATGTGGGGATCGATGTTAATGAGACTTGTTGTGATGATCATTTTATAATCGATATAAAAATCGAATGATTAGTTGTACATCTGAAACTAATGTTATATGTCAATTATACCTCAATACAAAACAAAGGCAGGTATCCTGACACTATGTCTATTTGAACAAAAAGGCTTAAAAGCCAAGCAGAGAAGAACCACCTCTTTCCTGTTCTTCCTTCTTCTGCGTGATACCAGATCACCTAATATCCCACAAAGAAAAAACACCAAAGCAAGACTTGCTGGAACAAAATCTTGGCTCTACTACTTTCCAATGGAGGAAACACTTAATCTCTAGACTGCAGTTTGCTGTAAAATCACTTACAGCTTTGCTTGAAGCATTAAATGAGATAATCCATGCAATGTCCTCAGCTTGAAGCCTGCTTGGCAAAAGCACATAATAAATGGCAGCTGCTTTTATTACTCAGTGGTTCCCCCCTCTTGCCTGGCTCCTCCACCCAGCTGTGTCTTTTCCTCTTGATCTCTCATCATTTTTCTGTCTGCTGATTATAGTGAGATTCAGGATTTTATGCTTGACCACCCTGAACACCCTTAATCCCAGGCACCCCAAGGGGCTTCTCTCTAGAGAAACCATAGGGCATCCTGCCAGCTGGGCTTCTTCCCCTCCTGGTCTGCATCTGTCTCCACCCTCCCCCACAATGCTCCCAGCAGTCCTGGTTCCACCCAGGCTATGGGTGAATAACCAGCCTAGCAGTCAGCAGCTCCTGGGATGGGTTCCTGACCAAGTATTGGGACTAGGACCATCAACCCCACAGGCCATTTCCACCCGGGCAGGGATAGGTCAGGCGAGAACAGCATGTCTCCCTAAAAGTCAATTATTTCCCAGCACCATTTTAAATCCAGAGAGGACCTAAGCCTCATCACTGAGAAAGCACATTTAGTTAGGGCAGCAGAAAGCTGTTTGTTTCCACTTCCCGTCCCTAAATTTCTTTGTTCCCTCTTGCCCATGCACTCACTCTACATCAACATTTTTCAAACTGTCTGTGGTAAAGGTCCAGTTGTTATTTTCTCTAAATAATTGTGTACTAATGCATTTATATAACCATAAAAATAAATTGCTACAAAACCGAAGTGTCACTTATAATATTAAATTACTATAATGTTTGTTAAACACTTTCACTTTCTGTATTTAGCTTTTGCAGACGGGCAAACATTTTTCAGATGCACACCAGTCTCTGGACAAAACTGAGAGTAGGGTAGCCTCTGGAAGGAACAGATCCACCCAAGAGCCCATCCGCCATGGACTCTTCACATCCTGGATTTTTGTCCTGTGATGTACTCAGCTCAATAGCAGTCTGCCCCACCCAGAACCTGCAGGGGTAAGATCCTGCTAAAATCTACTAAAACCAGGCCTCCCAGGTGGTGCAGCGGTTGAGCGCTGGGTTGCGAAGCTGCCCGCAGCCTCTGCAGCGCCGGTTCAATCCCCGGTTGCTCCCCGGCCACTGGAGGAGCATCCCACATGGCACGCAGACCTCTCCTGCTGCCCGCTGCTCCCCTCAGCAGTGTACTTCAGTCCTTCTGCCTGCTCTGCTCCCTGCTCTGGCTCTGGTGAATTCTCTCACCCTCCCGTGCTTCTGTCTGCACCCAGTGCTTGTATAAATAAATAAATCTAAAAAAAAAAAAAAATCTACTAGAACCTGCTAGAATCAGCATCTCCCAGGGGAGGGATGTACAGAGATGTCCCCAACCCAAGTGCAGCCAGCTGCCCTTACCATTCCATTCCAGCCCTGTTGATCTCCTCCCACCAGCACTCCGTGGGTTCCCCGAGGCTCTGGGGTGTGGGCACGCAGGCATAGTTCCATTGTCTGTCAGAACCTTCCTTTTTGTTGAAGATGCTCCTCACGGCCACTACCACCTGCCCGTGGGGACACTGGTAGCTGAAGCCCTGCCGGTTCAGATTCACCCACCCATCATCGCCATAATCATGGTACTGCTGGTATGGGTACCCGTAATCACCATACTGGCCCCAGGCCATGGTGACCAGTGGCAGCAGTACCCACAGAAAAGTGAGGTCCATGCTGCTAGGGCTTCTGGCAAAAAATGTCACCCTAGGTCTGCTGGGCTGACTGTTTTATGCAGCTGCTGTAACATGTGGCTTCCAGATGTGGGTGAGAGGGTTCCAACTGCAGTGTGTCATTGTTTAAGCAAAAGTTTTTGGCGTGAAGATATTGGCCATAAGTACATCCAGCTTCTTTTAAGGTGGAATTCGAAGAAAACATAAGGAACACACAAATGGAAGAAACTCCTTGGAAAAAGAGCAAATTTATAGATAGGTCATAAAAGTAAACAGCTTTACAGCCTTGAGAAAGAAATGTTCACCTGCAAAAGCTGCAAGCTTGTCCCCCATCTCTCAGTACCTTCCTCACCTCTCATCAGCAAACTCCTGTATTTGTTTTCCAAACTAGCCTCTCAGAACCATACAAATATCCAGAGAGTGATTTCAAAACACCAGAATGAACAGGCAGAGGCATTTTGATTTCTGCAAGCCTGGATGTCTGGTTTCCTTTAAGGTCCCAGCCCAATATCATTTAACCCAGAGTGTAAACAGGGTATACACGTTTGCAAGGCTGCTGTGAGAGATGTACTGGGCATTATCTCACACTTAAGCATAACTTTGATATGCAGGAATTGGAAGGAGCTACACCTAGAAACTTTTCCACTTGCAAATCTGTAAGTGGTTTAATCTGCCACTTCTTATCCTTCGGTGTTTTTTCCTTCCAGTTGAGTTTTCTTTTTATGAGGTATAATTTGTCCCTAATAACATTCATCATGTGTAATCTGTGGCATGCAGACCTTGAACCAGCACTATAATCAAGACACTGAATAGTCCCATCAAAGTCGTGAATACCTTTATGCCCCTTGGTAGTCAAGTCTTCCCCAATCCTACCCTCTGGTGACCACTGATATTTCTGCTGGTAGAGTTTTATTTTTTTCAGAACATCAAATAAATGAAATCATACAGTCTATAGTCCTTTGTGTCTGACTTTCATTACTTGGCTTTTGCATTCAGCCTTGTGATTTTGTATACCCATAATTTGTTTCTTTTTATTGCTAAGTGGTATTCCATGCTATGTATGTGCTAGATTGTTTATTTCCCTGCTGAAGGACATTTGGATCGTTTCCAGTTTGGGGTAATTGTGAATAAACCTACGATAACACCCTGGATAGGATTTTGTGTGAACAAATTTTTATTTCATTTGGGCAAATACCTAGGAGGATTGCTGGATCTTAAGGTAAGGGTAAGTTTTGCAAGAAACTGCCTGATTTCTGAAAGGGCTGGACCATTGTCCATCCCTACTAGAAACCTGCCTTTCTTACTGAATTTTAGCGATGGTCATAGGTGAATCATTTGCTGGTAGTATTTCAGTTAGGCTTTGATTTTCAGTTTGCTAATGTTCAATGATTTTGCATATCTTTTTATGTTAATTGGCTATTCATATGTTTTCTTCAGTGGCTGGGTGTTCAAATGTTTTGAAGTCTTTGGCCATCTTACCTATGTGCACAATATTTCCCATTTTTATCAGGGTTGTCAAGACCTACTAAATCATAATCTCTGCTGGTGCTCAGGTATCTGTATTTTAAAAAGAATATTAAAGTGGGTTCCATTGCTTAGTTGTCAAAGCACAGGTAGTGTCAAAATATTCTCCAGGTGATTCATAGTCACATCATGTTTTACAACCATTTCCTAGAGGAATGCAGAGCGAGGGGAAAAAATCACACTATAAATCTCACCCTTTGCTCAACCTATACCATATTTACCAGATAGCATTCAGGCTAGATTAAATAAACATCAGGACAACCTTGAAGGAGAAAGTCACATATTCAAATAAAGAAGAATGTTGTGTGTGTGTGTACAAGCAATTTGCTCTGATGATCATGGGTGCCAATGGGAGGGGTAGAAGCTCTGGTCTGGACAGCTGGGTGAGTCTTAGTTCTGTTCTTAGCACTACCTTCTCCTAGCACGTCTATACCCTAGCATTGGCAACTGGAGCCCTCCAGCTTAGGGCAACCACTTTGATTTACAATATGCTGGAACAATCACTCTTCACCCTGTCAGCACTTAAGAATTACCTAGGGACTTTTGAAAAACATCAGTGTGTGAGTCTTACTCCAGACCCATATGATCAGAAGTTTTGAGCAGGGCCCAGACCATAGTACAATTATGAGCAGCTGAACAATGGGGATACAGGATTTGTTCAGAGAAATGCATTGTTAGGCTATTTTTGTGGTCATGCAAATGTCACAGAGTGTAACTACACAAACCTGGATAGTATCGTTTACTGCACACCTGGGCTGGTGTGCATCAAGACAGCTGTCAGATACACAGTCCATTGTTGACCATTATTGAGATTGAGTTTGCAGAAAGAGATATGAGGAGAACAGGGCTGAGCCCAAAAGTCACAGAATAAGGGAGAATTCGGGGGTTAGGGAGCAGCAGACTGAAGCAGGAGGCTTCCTGTAGAGAAAGCACCCTTGGGAGCACTGGAACCAGGTCTGTGCTGGGAGCTAAGTTGGATTGGCTCTGAAATGCTCATGGAAGGAAGCTGGGGGCTAAGTGCCTAATTAGTGTCCTGGGATCCGTGTGGATGGATGAAAACCAGAGCCATAGAAATATCACTTTAGTAAATGTATTATGTGATTGTAAGAGGAATAACAAAAATTTGAATACATTGCCCATATTACAATCAGGAGCTCATTACATTTCAGAGAACATGTTAAAGGAATGTCCCATTGGAAAAACTCAATATGAATGAGGAAAAAGTGCCTTCAATCAGAGAGCACTTAAATGTCATTCTGAATCAAATTCCCTAATTTGAAAATAGTTTTATAAGTGCCTAAACCTATGGATACAAACCACACCATCTAGCAGGAAATAGTGGCACGACTATGGCACTCAGTAAATATTTATTCTTCCATATATAGGGCTCTAACATGATTTAGTTTGTCTTTGCATTAATGGAGGTGGTAAAGCTGGCTTTATTATTTCCATTTTACCAATTTAGAAATGGGGGCTTTGAGAGGTAGCGTGATATCTAAAGATACAGACATATTGGGTGACAGGGTCTGGACCCATGTCCCCCATTCCAAATCAGGGTTCATAAAACACCGCATGTTACTTTCAGTCAATCTCAGGGAGACCTACAGTTTCTTAGGGACTCAGGGGATTTGGCATCAAGAATCCAGATGAATGAGTCTTGTAGGGAAGCAAGGTGACTGATGGCAGAGAGCTTTGGAAGATCCAGCTCATAACACACTTACCGTCCCCTTCCTTCTGGCCATCCTAAAGATGGTGGGGCCTGGTTTTAGGAGAAGTAGCCCCACTAAAGTGGACTTTTCCTCCATGGACACAATATTGTCATCACCTTTGCCATCATTTCCTATAGCACCCTTTCTGTCTGCTGCTTCCTGTGGGCAGGGGTGGCAACCCTTTAACTAAGGTTCATACTCTTTTTCCCCATCCTGCAGCTACACATTGGCACTTCCTTTTGACTTTGTACTCTATGGTTTCAGAACTTTGGCTTGGTCATCTAGGAAGCCCAGTGTCTCTTTCTGCTCTAAAGACAGAAGTCACCTCAACTCAGTATTTCTCAAAGCTAGCTCCACAGACCCCCACATCACGTGCTGAAGGAATATGCTACAGGCAGATTTCTGGGGACCCATCAGTCCACTGAAACAGAATTCCTGGAAGTGGGGCCTTGGGATCTGAGTTTTTAATGTTCCCTCCCCTGAGTCCAAAGTCCAGAACCATAGGTTAATGTGCCTCTCCCTTCTCTGAGATGATTTTTGATTTTGTATTCTTTGAGTATGAGGCACAAGCAGGCAAGGCCCCTCTGTCAACTACCCAGCTGCTTGACCTGGGGCAGGTGTACCCCAGCTCCGGGTAGGGGACTGTGCTGAGAGCTTTATATGACAGTCCCGCTTCCGTGGGGTCCACCTCCTGCCTCCTGCTCCCCTGCCACCCACACAGACAGTGACTGAGCAGAACCAAGAAGAGCAGAAAAAACTGCAACCTTCCTTCCATCTCTCTCTGAAGCCCAGAGCTGAGCACACTGCACTAAAGAGTTCTATTTTTTACAACAGCTTTAAAAAAAATGCTGCAATATTCACACCTTCAAAAATAATTCACTCTTTAACAGCGGGTTCACTTCACCTAACCAGAGGCACTCAAAGAGGCTGAGCATTTCTGCTATGCACACATACACATACACACTCACACACACACACACACACACACACACACACAGGCATATATGTTGCCTTTAATCTAGCATGAAAATTAAATGAGAAGATTCATGGAAAGTTCATGGAAAGAGCCTGGTATTAGAAAATAATGAATTATCACTTGAAAGGTGATGCACTGGGTATTCTCCACTTCATTTTCTGGGTCCCCTCTCTTTCCTGCTCTGCACCCTGGGAAAATGCACATGCTATTTATGAGCTCTCTCTCCCTCTGCGTCCTGCTCAGGCTTGGTTGGTGTGAGGCACCAGGCAAGGATTAAAGGATGAGAAAAAGGTGAAAATATCAAATCCCCAGCTTCCTGCCCTCCCGCCCCAGTTGTCACCAGTTGGGTTTCTCTCCATGGCATCTGTCTGCTGACCCTTCTTCAAAAGGCATGGTTCAGGAACATCACCCCTCACCCTGACACTTCAGGCCTGGGGGTCACATTTCAGTTGTTTCTAGCTGGATTAGTCCTGAGACATTCACCCTGACCCACTCACACCTTTCTTTGTACATAGTTTTTCATTCATTCTCTTCAGCCATCCCTCTTGATTATGCACCTGTCTCCTGGCAAGACCTGATTGATATACCTGGTAATTGCCTGGATTCACTTCAAGGAAAATTCTGAAATTATGTGGCTGTCCCAGCCCTGGGCATCTGTCTCCAGCTGCTTTGGTCATCAGCTTCTCAGGGGGAGAAGAATGTTCTACCCGGTTGGGTGATGTTTGAAAGCACCAACATGCAATGGAAGCATCTATTTTGAGTGTGAAATCAATCTCACTTGTCTTCCAGCCTCAATTTTCATGCCACTCCATCCAAATGCCCACTTTGAAACCTTTTCCTGCAGGAAGTCAAGATAAATC